AGCTAAAAAGTGGACTGTGTATTTAATTTTTAGCTGATACTTGGCAGTTTAGGGAGGCATTGTCCAGAAGACCCACAGTCAGCAGGCAGGGAGGGCGCAGCAGATCAAAGCCCCGGGTTGAAACAGTATGGTCAGAACCTCCTGCTTCATCCATCACCAGCTTCCTTGTAACTCAGAGTCCCCACCTCCCAGCCTGCAGACTGTCACAGTCCAGGCCTGTGGCGCCACCCCCACCCTCAGTGTCTGAGTACAAGCACCACTGTGTCGCTGCTGCCCAGCCCTGTCTCCGGCACAGCCTCTCCACCCTGCAGGAAGGACCTGGTACACTCCTCCAGCTCCTGGACCTCTAAAGTCGTCCTTTCCTCTCTCCTGATGCCGACGTGGGCCGTGGACTCAGGTACTCCTGGTCACTCCAGGAAGGCACGCTGGGGGTGTAGATGTGGTCATGTCTGAGGTCATGAGGGTCCTGGACGAGGCGTGCCCCTGGCTGGGCTCTCCCTCATAGTTGTCTCTCAGGGGCATCTCTGAGCCAGCCTGCAGAGGTGGGCGTGGGCATCACCCTCGGGACCTGCGGGGGACTCTGAACACTGGGCATCTTTCTGTTTGTCATCCTCTTCTTCACAAACAGAGGTAGGTGAGCATCCCTGGAGAGGGCGGCATGCAGGCTGACCTGGGCCACACCCCAAGCCTGAGCTTTCCTGGCTCGACCCCCTCCAGGGAGGAGTAGGGAGCCAAGCCCACAGGCCCTGGGCTCCAGCAAGGCCTGCCCTGAAGCTGCGACCCTGCTGACCCAGAGCAGGCCAGAGCCTTGGGTCACCACCGCAGCATCACCATGGAGCCCCACCTGGCCTTCGTGTGTTCCATGCACACACCCAGGGGCTCCCGCTGGCTCTGCCTGTCTTTGCTCCTGAGAAGCCGTGGCAGGGCTCAGGGCCCCCACTGCACCATGTATCAGGGAGGGCAGAGCGCTTCCTGCAGGGGCAGCCGTGGCTGTGGGAGCTGACGCACATCGTGGCCTGGACCCGGGCATTCCACCTGGGGCTGACCGTGAACCTGGTGTGGGTCTGGCACAGGTTCCAAGGTACCTGGCTGTGAAGGGGAGGCCCTTGAGGAAGGGTCCTGGCCGGCCTGCCCAACCCAGAGCCAGCTCCCTGGTCTGGGGATGTGGGCCGGGGGCGGGGTGGTGAGGGGGGAGGTCTGCAGGCAGTACCCAAACTAGGATATAGGCAAGGGGACAGATTTGGGTCCCACCCAGGGCCCAGAGAACAGCCAGGCCTGGGCCCTCCAGGGCTTGACCCCAGCCGGAGGACACACTGGATAGACAGACTCTCCTGGACTTTGCTCACATTCCTGCCCATTGTCCCCTTGGCCGTGGTGATCACCATCAGCGCTGTCCTTCCAATCAAGGGACGAGGTACTAGGCTGGGGCATCCCTACCACCAGACTCCCCAGGGACCCTGCCTCTGCCCACTGCTCAGTATCTGGCTCCTGCCCAGGGCTGAGCTTCAAGATCAGGTCTTTGGTATCCCCTGAACCTACCAATTCTCCAGGTCCAGTTGGCCTTAGCAGGGAGAAGGGTCGTGGGCACTAGCCATGTGCTGGTCTCAGGCTGCTGTGGGGTGGGGCTCCATAAAAGGAGGCTGGCCCTGCCCCTTGTGTCAGGGCACAGTGCAGAGATGGGCAAAGACTTGCCAAGAGGTAGTCTGCACTGTGGGACGAGCCCAGCGATGTCCAAGTCACAGCCCCAGTGCTTCCAGGGGTCCTTGGACAAGTCACCCTGTGTCTCGGTTTCTCCATCTGTGAAATGGGAGCAGAGGCCCCTGGAAGTGCTCACCTCAGGCATAGCCCAGCCCCACCGGCTACTCCTGAGGGAGGGGGCTCACCCCAAGTCTCAGGAGCTGAGGAGGGAAGGCAAGCAAGACAGGGGTCAGAGAGTGGGAACCTTGAGAAGCCTGACCTAGGGGGTGGGGGATGTGGGGGGATGTGTGGTGGGTACTAAGTAGCCTGAGGAGTAGTATGAGCAGCTACCCAAGAACCTGCCTTGGGGGTCCATGGCAAGCTCCCAGCAGAGAGCTGGGAGAGTACCTGACCACACAGGAGTGGGGGAGGGGGCAGCCTTGGCAGAAGATGAGCAGACTGCTCACCCCCTTCCTCCTAGCGTCTTTCCAGTTCAGAGTTCCCACCAGGAGGTGAGTGACCCCTCACCCCAGACCCTCCCCAGTCTGAGCCTGGAGGGACAAAGACCACCACTCTATCCACAGTGGGGGGGGGGACAGGAACCCCAAGTGTGGGGAGAAATGTCAGAGGTAAGCCCTAGCTTTGAATCTGAGCTCTCGGAGGTTAGTTCTGTCTCTGTGGGCAGCGGCGGTACCCGGTGGACAAGAGAGACACCTCTTCCCCAATACATGAAAGGCCCCTGGGGGTGCATGTCAGCCGGCCCCAAGGCCATGCACTCTCCTCTTCCCGGGAGAGGGGCTGCTCCTGGAATCACCCTTGCGCCCGGAGGCCTGCGCTAGGAAGCAGGGAAAACAGGGTCCCCGCCTTCCCCTGATCCGAACCGGTCTGCGGCGAAGCCCAGCACACTGAGGCCACGACTCGAGTGGGGGGCAGAGGCGCAGGGGGAGTGGATGGCGCGGGTGGGGAGGGGCCGGGAAGGAGCCAAGCCAGGGCTGCGCGGGGCGGGGCTCGAAGGTGGTGAGGGCGCGACCCAGGCTGGGGACCCGCGGGGCTGGGGTGCAGTCTGGCCAAGCCCCGGCTGCGCGAGGGCTGGGCGCGGAGCGGGGGCTTCCCACGCAGCTCTCCGAACCATTCCGCCGAGACTGCAGAACTGGGAAGAAAACTGGAGGCAGAGGAGAACAAAGCGCTTGCCAGACCTCTCCTGGGAGGAGGCATCTGTGAGCCAGAAAGCGAAGACAAAGCACCAAGAAATCCGGGAGGCCCGGACGACTTAAAAACCTCTGCCGGTTGAGTCCCTCACCTCGCACCAGAAATTAAAAGGCGGAGGCCAGCCAGATCCTCCTGTCCTCCCAGGACGGCAGTGTGCGCCACTGGAGCCCGGGAGGGGCAGGGGCGGCTTGGGAGGGGCCCTCCGCCTCTGGCAGCCCGACTAGCAATCTGGCAAACGGGCACGGCGGCCCCTGCCAGGTGTTGAGGGTGGCCAGGTGGAGAGCGCGGCAGTCTGTCCTGGAAGCAGAGAGCCCCCGGTTGGAAAGGCCAGGCCCTGGAGAGAAGCAGCAAATATTCTCACTGGGCTCTGTGGAGCCCCCACTACGTGGCGCGCGATGTTCCCAGATTCTACTTGGTCTTTTCACAAGTTTCTGTAAGAAGTTAGGCACCAATTTCAGATTAAAAACAAAAAACATAGAGGGGCACCTGGCTGGCTCAGTCCGTTAAGCTTCCCACTCTTTATCCCGGCTCAGGTCTTGATCTCAGGGTCGTGAATTCAGGCCCCACACTGGGCTCCATGCTGGGTGAGGAGCCTCCTCAAAAAAGCAAAAGACAAAAAACTATCATTTAAGGCCAACATTCAGATGCTGTTTAAGTTTATGAAGCAACATTTCTTCAAATTTTAACACCAAATGGAGATTCTCCATTGTCTTGAGTGTATGTCATTTAATTCTTATTTATAAATTTGAAGAGGCTCTGCCCCATGTTCCATGCAGCTGCAGCCAGCTATAGAGCAAGTCCAGAGAGATGAGTGACTTATCACAGCTCTGGAACCAGCCTCCTAAGATGGCTTCGCACACAAGCCTTCCTACAGATGTGGGTTTCCTGAGGGCATGCACCTCACAAACTCGCCAGTGGACAATTCTCAAATCTGTCCACGCTACAGCAAACGTGGACAGACCTGTACAGGAGATGAACTATATACAGGACCAAAACAGTTGTAGATTTAAGTTGCAGGTCAAAGGGGATACAGAGGCACCTCCTTGGGGGGGCATCTAACAGGGTGGGAGGCCAGGCCTGCTAGGTGCTGTTAGCACCGCTCACATCCCTAGTCGAGACTGAATTAAATGAAGGATTTATGGTGTTGTTTTCCACAATGTCACAGCAAAAAGGGCAACAGCAAAATCCCGGGTGGATCCCTTCCTCTCCAGCCATCCCGGCCAGCTAGGAAGGGAAGCTGACCAAGGGCCGGTCAGTGGGATGAGTTGAACAGGTGCGCACGTGTGGGCTTAGGAACCCACAGAAGAAATTCCAAAGAGAGAAACAGTGGACAACCGATGTCATCCGAATGGACACGATCTTCCCAGGAAACCTAACTCCCTCGGGGGGGGGGCCCCAGAAGGAGTGTAAAGTATCAAGAAGCGATTCCAGGAAAACCAGGATCCCCAGAGAGCCGAAAACTTTCTCAGCGGGGGGGGGGGGGGGGGGGGGGGGCTTGCCCGCGGCGGGAGGCGAGGAGCGTGGGGAACCCTCTCCGCACATGGGGGAGACGGGGCGGGGCGAGAGTCCACTCGGGGACAGACGGCGAAGGGCCCAAGTCTGGCACGTGGAGCGTGGGGGCTGCTCTGACCACCGCTGGCTCTGTTAGATTCGGGAGCAGCGTCCTCCTCCGGAAGCCAAAATCCTGCCGGTCCGGAGTCGGACCTCTGCAGGGCGCACACGCAGGCCGTCGCGCACCGACTTCGGGGCGAGGGACTGGAAGGAAATGCCCGGAGGGGAGTCGGCCGTTGCCGGGACGACGGGGTGCCAGTGGGGGAGGGCGACTGAGTTCTGTCTCCACGGAGACCGTGCAAGCTGAATGCCAACGTTACTAAAGGTGGGCACACCCCGACGGACGGCCAAGGTCCGGAAAGAGCCCAAGAGTAAAGGTTGGAGATGACACCCTGACCGCTGCCTGACCCCCCACACCCCTGATTCTGCCTCCCCCAACCTCTTGGCCTGGGGACGCGTCCCACCCTGCTAGGATATTCGGGCCGGGGGAAGGGAAGGGCTAGGCTGGAGGAGCGGGCTGGGGGCAGTGCCCTCACGCGTGCCGGCGCCCGAGGCCCCAGCCCATGGTGCCCAAGAAGAAGCGCGGGCTCAGCGCGGGGCGCCGGCCGGGCGCGGCGGGAGACGGCGCCGAGCCGCCGCTGTCGGAGCGCGGGCAGTACCTGCAGCGCGAGTATAGGCTGCTCTCGGAGCAGCTGGACGCCTGCGAGGCGCGCGTGGACCAGGTGCTGCAGGAGAACGCCTTCCTGGAGCGCGAGGCGGTGCGCTTGCGCGAGGAGAACCGGCTCTATGCCAGCTACGTGAGCGCGCGCGCGCAGCGCTGCGCCCAAGCCATCGTCCGACTGGACGAGCAGCACCGCGTGGACCTGACGCAGATCCACTGGCAGCGGGCCGAGCTGGCCTCGCTGTACCGCGGGCGCGAGGACGGAGTGCGCGCGCAGCTGCTGGAGATGGAGGCGCGCGCGGCGCGGATGGCGCGGCAGGTGCAGGAGCTGCAGCCGTACAAGGCTAGTGAGCGCGTGCCCGGCGGGCGGGGTGGGGGCGCGCCGCGCCCCGGCGCTGACCCGCGCCCCCGCCGCAGGAGCTGCAGCTGGAGCAATTGGCCCGGGTCCGGGCGCTGGAGCGCGAGCTGCTGCACATGCGCGTGGAGCACACGCAGCTGCTGCACCGCGTGAAAAGGCGCTTCCTGGAGGACAAGGCGGCCTTCGAGCGCGAGGCGCGTCAGCGTGTGCAGTCCCTGGCGCGACGCGCGGAGCGGGAGGCGGCGCGCGCGCTCATCGTGCACACGCAGGCCGTCAAGGCTGACAACGGGCGCCTGCGGCAGGAGCTCCTGCGGCTCCTTCGCTGGGCTCAGCTGCTGCATGACACGCGGCGCCAGCTGCTGGAGCAGCGTGAACAGCTGCGGCGCGAGCACGAGGACACGCGGGACCTGGCGCGTGTGCATGGCTGGCTGCGCCGGGGCCCCGACGGCCCGCCGCTGTGGCAGCCGCCCGCCCCGCGTCTCGGGTCCTTCGCCCCCTCCACAGCCCCATCGAGCGTGGCTCCCCGGGCCCCGTCGCGCGCGGGCTCCGGGTCATTGCTCCCATCGCATGTGGGCTCCAGGATCCCATCGCAGGCCGCTCCGAAGGCGGGTTCACGGGTTCCATCCCAGCACTTATCGCCCGCGGGCTCCCGGGTCCCGTCCTTGACCCCGTCCCGCCGGGGCTCCCGGGTCCCGTCCTTGACCCTGCCCCACCGGGGCTCCCGGGCCCCATCCTTGACCCCGTCGCGCCCAGGCTCCCAGGTCTCTTCGCGGTTCTCATTACCCGGGGCCTCACAGAACACCACTCCCTCTGCTAAGTCTGTCCTGGGATCAAGCTCTTCCCGTCCCCCAGTCGAAGGAGACCGTGGACAATGACGCTGCAGCGGAAGCCGCCTCAAGGAGAGCCGAAATCGACGGAGTGCGGGGGCGGAGGGCGCGTGGAGGTGAGGGCCCGTGGTGTTCAGGTATTTGGTAAATGCGGTGTTAATAAAAGGTGTGACCGGCCCACCTGGCTCTGGCATGACCCGCTTTCCTGCTCCAGCATTCCTGGAGGCATAGGGACCACCCATTCTGGCTTCCAGTTTCCAAACTGCAAGGTAGCCTGATGCGCCCCTCGCCCTCTGTGTCCCTCTGCCCCAGCTGCTCCGCAGGGGCAAAGGAAGTGGGCCACACCAGTATCCTCGCGCCGGGAATGACGGAGACGGACATCGCCCGCATGGACAAACGGTGCCAGAGCAGGACAGGAGTCCAGCTGGCCAGGAGGAGCTGGGCAACCACGTGTTGTAGCGGGGAGGGCCAGCGTGGGGTGGGCCGTGATCAGGAGGGCCACTGGAGGGGGGGGCAGTGGGGCTTTGCTCCCAGTGCCACTGCCACCAAGGGCCATGGGAGGTTTTGTGTTTAAACTCTTGGGGATTTGGGGGTAATTTTTTTTTAAAGATTTTATTTATTTATTTGACAGAGAGAGAGAGGGAGGGAACACAAGCGGGGGGATCGGGAGAGGGAGAAGCAGGCTTCCCGCTGAGCAGGGAGCCCGATGCGGGGCTCCATCCCCCAGGACCCTGGGATCATGACCTGAGCCGAAGGCAGACGCTTAACAACTGAGCCACCCAGGCGCCCCATTTGGGGGTATTTTTTAATATAATTTCCAACTCAGAGAGAAGTTGCTAAGTACAGAGAACTCCCTTTATCAAGATTCCCCAGCAGTTTGCATTCTGTCCCCGTGTCTGTGTCTGCATTTTTTCCTGAACCACTGGAGATTAGGTTCAAGACATCATGCTTCTTCACTTAAATGATTTAAAAATCCCTTAGGGGGCGCCTGGGTGGCTCAGTCGTTAAGCGTCTGCCTTCGGCTCGGGTTGTGACCCCAGGGTCCTGGGATCGAGCCCCACATGGAGCCCCACATCGGGCTCCCTGCTCGGCGGGAAGCCTGCTTCTCCCCCTCCACTCCCCCTGCTTCTGTTCCCTCTCTCGCTGTGTCTCTCTGTCAAATAAATAAATAAAATCTTAAAAAAAAAAAAAATCCTTTAGTGTTCCTGAGCACAAGGATGTTCTCCAACCTTACCCCAGTACGATGATCCAACTCCGGAAATTTAGTACAGAGAAAACAGTATTAGCTAAGCCACAGCTCCCGTGAAAATGTCGGTTGTCCCCGCTCTGCCAGGGCCATACATTGCATTTAGCTCTCAATCCTAATGAGCATAGGCTGGCCAGTAAGGTGTCCCATGGTTGTGGTTGTGGGAGGTCCAGCAGCTCTTGGGGGAGGCCATGCCCTAGCATACCCTCAATACTGGCCCAAGGGCTGGGGACTTCATCCTGAGCACAGAGGGAAGGTTCTTAAAGATTCTGGGTCTTTGGCTGCACATTGGAGGCCGGCGTTGGAGAGGCCCAAACAGGAGGTGGTCATGGCTAGAGTGGCTGGCGCACTTCTAGCAGCAGGGTGCAGAGTTGGTGGAGCCTTGGGGACAAGGCAGGGCAGCCCCCCCCCCCCCCCGTGGCGCACGTACCAGGGGTCCAAGCAGCAGATCCTGATGGCCCTGTTAACCTTAAAACTGCCAGGTATTTTACCAGCAGAGATAGGTTTGTTCAGGAATAGCAGAGAACTGCAATAGCAAGACGAGCAAGTTAGGGCAAAACTGTGCCCGGAACCACCGGGCGGAACGCTCTTTTATGGAGGAAAGGGGGCGTTGGGAGGGGCTGTTGTAAACAAAAAGCCCATTGGCCAGGACCGAGCTGGGTGGGTAGTGGCTTCTCATTGGCTGAGCTGTTGGTGGGGCGGGGAGGGCACCGTTCTTCCTCGCGGTGGGGCTCTAAAGCTGTAGTGACTGGCAAGGTCCCAGCTGGGTCCGCAAGTGAGAGTCAGGCAGTGAGAGCTCCCCCTGGTGGCCTCCCAGCTCCACTCGGCCCCATTCTAAACGAGGCCTCCTTTTACTAATTTTCAGAGCCCACATGGAAGGACCCTTGGGACGGTCAAGACGGGTGGAACCAGGACTGGACCTGGGCCGGGTGGAGACAGGAGTTCAGATCAGGGGTTTAAAATGGAGCTTTTAGGGGCGCCTGGGGGGCTCAGTCGTTAAGCGTCTGCCTTCGGCTCAGGTCATGGTCCCGGGGTCCTGGGATCGAGGCCCCCATCGGGCTCCCTGCTCCGCAGGGAGCCTGCTTCTCCCTCTCCTGCTCCCCCTGCTTGTGTTCCCTCTCTGGCTGTGTTTCTCTGTCAAATAAATAAATAAAATCTTTTAAAAAAGCAAAATAAATGGAACTTTTAGTCATCAAGGGCAGTGCACAATGAGGGTGAACCACCCAGGGGAAGTGGGCAGAAGCCCTGTCCTCCTCACCTAGCTGTATTTGGGGTTCTGTATGCTTTGGCCACCCCCCCACCGTGAAACTTAAGCTGAAATATTCTGGTCCTGGGTGGACAGTGCGCCTAGGCCCCTCCCAGCAGTCAACACAGACACTCTTGGGAGAGTTCACCATTTCTCTTTAAAAGGAAGTAGGCCTCCTTTGAGATTTGGGGAAGGAAATAATACAAAATGAGTTTAGGATATCTTGTGCCAGAAAGCAAGATTGCTCCCAGAAAGAGACCTACCAGAGGGACAGTGTGACAAAAGTGAAGGGCTCTGAATGGCCAAAAAGTCAACAATTTCAGCATCAAAAAGAGTAATGGCTGTCCTGAATAGAAACAAAGCAAATATATAAAATGCAGAAGTTTAAAATATTATAAAAACCCACTCCATTAGTCATCTTGAAGGTTGCTGCTATAGCAATCCATTATTCTAAAAATTGGTAAATGAAGGGGCGCCTGGGTGGCTCAGTTGGTTAAACATCTGCCTTTGGCTCAGGTCATGATCCCAGGGTCCTGGGATCGAGTCCCACATCAGGCTCCTTGAGCCTGCTTCTCCCTCTGCCTGCCTCTCTCTCTCTCTCTCTCTCTCTGATAAATAAATAAAATCTTAAAAAAATTAAAATTGGTAAATGAAGAATCACATCTATTCTGACTTTCCCCTGTGAACTGTATTTCAGGATAAACAGATTGGTGAAAGAAAGTTATGTATAGAATTCCATCTATTAAATGCAGAAGAAGGGGCGCCTGGGTGGCTCAGTTGGTTAAGTGACTGCCTTTGGCTCAGGTCATGATCCTGGAGTCCTGGGATCGAGTCCCGCATCGGGCTCCCTGCTCAGCAGGGAGTCTGCTTCTCCCTCTGACCCTCCCCTCTCTCATGCTCTCTGTCTCTCTCATTCTCCCTCTCAAATAAATAAAATCTTAAAAAAAATAAATGCAGAAGAAATAATTGGCAATGTCTTAATGGTAGTGAAAGCCTATAGGTGGGAGATTGATGAACATAATGGAGGATTCAACTGACCCTCAGAACCCATGAGTGACCCTAACTTTACCAAGAGGTATTAAGTGCCTCCTGGTGTGAAGCAATAGAATCTTGCAGAGTGCCGCCGACAGAGCATTCTTGATGAGAAACAAAACTGATCTAATCAAGTTTCTGAATGTAACTACCAGTGTATAGAAAACACAGGGGAAGGAGGAACATATTACAAGATATAGTAGGGATGTAGTCATTCAAATCCTCTCAATAGGGCAAATGACTGTTTTTTCCCAAAAAATAAATGGGAAGGAATTTTTTAAAAAGAGGAAAGGGAAATTGTTATGGATTAACAGACTTAAGATACATTTCTACTAAATGCAACATGTAGACCTTGTTCAAAGCCCTATTCTAATTTGAAGTGTTAAATCAAGATAAAGTTCCTTGGTACTTATGAAGCTAATAAGCAGTGGCATGCCCCACACTTCCTCTTCCCAGGTACTCCTTCTAGCAACTGATACTCCAATCTCTCTTCTGCCCAGACACCCCCTGTCCTCAAGACCCTCTAGCCCACTGATTCCTATGAAATAGCTCCCTGAGAGACATCACTCAGACTAGGCATTTGTCAATTTCTCCTTGTAGTTCTGTCATTTTTACTTTATGTATTTTGAAGCGATTTTTAATTGCCTACAAGTTTAGAACTCTTCCTGTAGTACAGGGAAGCCTAGCTCTTCCCTGTAAATTGAACATTTTATCAGTCTGCCGTGTTCTTCTTTATACCTCTGCCCACAGCCTATTATTAATGTGGCCGCTCCAGCTCTCTTTTGGTTTGTCTTGCACACCCCTTTCCATGGGTGTCAATTTTATATTTCAGATGTGTCCCTAGAAGCAGCATAAGTGGTTCTCATTGCTTTAAATACAGTCCAACAAGGGCACCTGGGTGGTTCAGTTGGTTAAGCGTCTGCCTTTGGCTCAGGTCATGATTCTGGGGTCCTGGGATGGAGTCCTGTGTCAGGTTCCCTGCTCAGTGGGGAGCCTGCCTCTCTCTCTTTGCCTCTGCCCCTTCCCCTCCCCCCATTTATGCACTCTCTGTCACCCTCTCCTAAAAATTTTTTTAAAATGTTAAAAAAAATACAGCCCAACAGTCTTTGTCTTTTAACTACAGACTGTAGTTATTTTATATTAGTTGATTTGCAGTATTAGTAGCAGTATTTTTTTTAAGATTTTTTATTTATTTAACAGAGAGAGAGTGCCCTCGTCCAATAGGATCGGTGTCCTTCTAAGAAGATGGCCATGTGAGGACAGACGCAGGAACACCCTGACGACGGAGGCAGAGACAGAGGCAGAGCCGCCGCGTCTGTATGCCGGGGTGCGCCAGGTTTCACCGGCACCATCCGAAGCAGGGAGGCCCAGGAAGGACCCTCCCCTACAGGCTTCAGGGGCAGCATGGCACTGCCTCTGCCTGCACCTCAGGCTTCCAGCTGCAGAACTCAGACGACAAATTTCTCATGTTTTCAGCCACCCAGGTGTGTGGTAGTTTGTCACAGCCGCCCCAGGAAACTGACC